GGCTACTCAGTAATGCCTCGAACTTGTGTGTGAATAAAGCAGATAATTTCTGCTATATCTGCGGTGAAATAACTTTTATCTCACAAAAAAGGATAACAGGAATGATTAAGAAAGCCTACAACTTGTATTTTGGCTGCAAGATAGGAGACCAGGACAAGAGCTGGGCACCACATATATGCTGCAATTCTTGTGGGACGGCACTGGAGCAATGGTTGAATGGAAAAAAGGCATCTATGCCTTTCGCTGTGCCAATGATTTGGAGAGAGCCAACAGATCATGTTAGTAATTGTTACTTTTGTATGGTGCCTCCAATTCTAAAAGGGCTAAATAAGAAGAAAAAGTTATCTGTGCACTATCCAAATATTCCATCGGCAATACGTCCAGTTCCTCATGGAGAGGGGCTACCAATTCCTAAAGCACCAGAATCCTTCGTGGTTGAGTCAAGTGAGGAAGAACCTGAAGCGTGTAGTCACGTGCAATTGTAAGAGATAGCCCTTTCCTCGAATACAAGAGAAAAGCCAAGAGAAGCAAAAAACCGACACAAACTGAAGACAAAACTAGTGAGAATCCTAAGTATTAAAATGATTCAACTTAGCTTATGGCTATAATTTTTCTTGGTAATCCTATGCAATATATTATGCCATTTAGGCTTTGTTATGTAGTCAATATCACTTGCTTTATATTTGTGGAAAGACATCTATCTATATAATTATTGTGCATTATGTAGTCATTACGCCTATAGTAGAAAACTTTCCGTTTACAGAAAAACTAGAGCCAATTGACAAATTTCATTGTTATATTTGAACTCAGAATGTGAAATTCATTAAGAAATGGATCCTTTTGTTTCCAAAACTGGCAAAAAATAAAAATTTGTTGAACAGTGGCCCCTTATGGTTTCTTGAACCAGGGGCCCTGAAGGTTCTAGTAACACCTCAGGAAGGTAAATATTTGCTGTTGAGGATACAGGGGTTGATTATAGCCTCAAAGTGGAACTCCAGCCAAAAGGGCAAGTTTTGCTGTTTCGCCTCATCCCCCCTCCTTGGCATTTTGTTTTTTGGGGGGAAGCGGGTACCTAATTTTGACAGATACACGCTCCTTCTTCAGCTTTGACTGCCTAAGTGATCAGAGCGGAAGTTTGCCTCTCCCCGCAGCCTCTCGGGACATGACAAGTCCCAAGAGACTGCGGGATCATTCACAAGACACAGTGTGGCTCGTGCATATGCAGTGGGCAGCTGGCTGTGAAGCTGCAAGCAGTCACAGCTGGCTGCCCACAGTGAAGATGCCAGGGACTGAAGAGTAGAGAAGGAGAGAAGAAACCTGATGGAGTGATCACAGTGCTGGAGTCCCAGACAGGTAAAGTGGCTGTTTTTTAAAAGTTAGCAGCTAGAGTTTTTGTAGCTGCTGACTTCTAATTTTCACAGATAGGCCTGAAGAACTGCTTTAACCACTCCAGAAGACCACAAGAGTTCAAAATGTGGCATCCTCAAAATAATGCCGGACGCATCACCCTCCATATATACCCCACGTACCTATATACAGTATATACAGTACACCTTATGTAATCAAGAGAAGGAGAGAAATATTTCTGTATTAGTGCTTGTGGTGGTGTAATACTAGCCAAGAAAAATAAAAACTACAGGTAGTATTACTATGATTTATAGCCCCGATCCTCCTCTTCTTGGGTTCCCCCCCCCAGCATTCCTGGCCCCTCCTATTCTCCGAGCGTCCCCATAGTAAGCCACTTGCAATGGGGGCAAATGTGTGTGCTCGCTCCCTAGACCTGCTTTGTGTGTCCATAGACACATAGAACAGGTCTCGCCCCACCCCTGCTCCCTCCTCACTGGCTGTGATTGACAGCAGTGGGAGGCAGAAACCTGGTACAACAGCCACTCTCATTCACATTGCTGGATTGCAATCGGGCTTGAGTAAGTATTAGGGGAGCTGTAGGGGAGCTGCGGGGGAGCTGCATAATGAAGGTTTTTTACCTTCAGGCACAGAATGCATGAGGATAAAAAACCTTCAGCCTTTAGAACTACTTTAATGCATTCTATGCATTAAGGTAAAAAAACCTTCTTGGTGCAGCTTCCCTCAAGCCCCCTTATTCTCACCTGAGCCCCATCTCCATCCAGCAATGTGCATGGGAACAGCGGCTCTCCTGGGTCTCTCTCTCTCCTCACTGGGTCACACTTGGCTCCCGCTGCTGGTAATCACGGCCAGTGAGCCAATGAGGAGAAAGCAGGGGGCGGACTGAGCCAGTCTCTAGTATGAATGGACACACAGAGCATGGCTTGGGGCACTCAGCAGGGGGAAGGTTGCAGGGGACCCAAAAAGTCCTGCAAACCTTTGCACAGAGCAGGTAAGTATGACATGTTTGTTATTTATTTTTAAATAATTTAGCATCACTTTAGGCTCGGTTCACACTGCCACGACTTGGGATCTGACTTGTAAAACCCCAAGTCACATGACATGTGAAATCCCATGTTAGTCAATAAGAGCCATCTTAATTAGCACTATTGAAGTCACTCCAACTTTAGAAAAGGTTCCTGTACTACTTCAAGGTGACATCTATCCAACTTGTGCCCATATTCTTTAATAGAATTCGCCCCAAGTTGTATCCTTATCTATATTGATGTGGTTTGGATCCAACATTACAGGAAGATTAGCCAGGCATTCCCTGAAAGTCGCATCAAAGTAGTACTCAAGTCGCCTGGCAAAGTCGCACTGTAAGTCGCACCACTTTCAGGTGGCAGTAATGTGAAACGAGACTAAAGCCTTTGTTTTCTTCTTTACTAAGCAATAGCCAATGAGCAATTGGAAGGCCTGTCACCTTATGCACCTGCCTATGGTGGCAAAACTATAAGGTCCCAAATATTGTGCTCTTATGACAGTGAAAGGGGTTAGGACACCTATAAAGTATAACACTGCCAGGGTGCTTATAACATGTAAATCTCACTTGCTCAAGCACCCCCCGCAGTGGTATAGTTTCTCCCAAATTCCATCACTGTCACAATGAGCAGCTTTGCCAGCATGTAAATGTGGAAAATAAATGTAACCCCCTCCTAGATAGATGCTAGGATAAGTAGATGATAGTTGGCTCCTCTGCTTTACGGGAGAACTGTCAGGGCCTTGTGAGTACCAACACAGAGAGATCTTGGGACTCTGTGTGCTTTATAGCCAGCATGGATCTGGAAAAGGGGGGTACTGGCTGGGGTCCTGAGGAGCTCTGTCCATTTATTCTTTGCTGCAAGGGACTTTGCTTTAAGCTGAAGTCACTGTCACTGCAAATGAGAAGTCTTATCTTCTCCAGCAAGGACTTCCCTTAAGGCCTCTTTCACACGGGCGGTTGTTTTGACACTTATAATTGCATGGTTTTTTCATTTTGAATTTCCAACACTCCTGGTACAGAGATCACTCCCGTTTGTACATTGCGTCTATCTACGATTACTTGCGCATACATGGGGGTGCGTTTACATGCGGCTGCTTTTAGCTGTGGTAGTAAATCTTTGCTTTTTTTATATAGCAACTGTTTACCTATTTTTTCTTTGTACTGCGATTAACTGAGTTTATGTACAGATAGCTGCAGTACATCGCTCCTGGAATCTGTCAACTTTATTCTTTTCTAAACACATAAAACTGTATAAATGTAAAATATATAGAAACAGCGCCAATAAATTATATATAAAGCTGGAAACCTAACCAAAGAAAAGGTAAGTGACAAAAAATATATAAAGGAATGTGCTAAATACCACATGAAAATGCAGATAAATACATAAATAAAATAAAAAAATATTTTTATAAATGTCCGTAATTCATATATAAGTCCAAACGCCAATATAAGTGATTAAACAATCTCTTAAACAAGAAAAAAACACCGTGTACTAAAATCCACCACCGAATGAAATGGGTAAACTCACCAGAGCTATTTGCTGTTCAAATTATAAATCAGCAAAAATAGCAATTGCTCTGGGAGCGATGATCTGTTGGAGTATCCAGGAGCAATAGACTGCAATCAGCCAAATCAGCACACATGGAACAGCCTTAACTGCAAGTGCTCATCATGCCTTCATAACTTTGGAAATGCTCGGGGAATCAAAGAAGAGTATCATGGTGCAGTATATTAAAACAAAGATCATTTTTATTGTAGTCTTAAATATGCACTCTCAAGAAAGGTGTCCAACCGACATCAGCAATATCAGTCTCAAAAAGCTGAAGCAGGGACGAGCCTCGCTCACCGCAATCACAGCCGACAGTCCCGAAGAGCGTCCTGACGTCTCATCCACTAAGCCCCGCCCTACGCATTTCATCATCCGACGTCTTCAAGGGGCGGCATGGATGACAGACGTCGAATACCAATATGTATACACACTAAATCTGCATTGCAGCAACGCTGCAACCAATCGATAAGCAGCATTCTGGTGACACAATACCGCGCGATCTCTGCAGATATATCCATTATCGAGACAAATAACATTAAATAGCCAATAAAAAATGTGAAATAAAAATGAAAATATTCACATTAAAAATAAAACAATAAAATGCAATCAATCATATAAAATAATCTAAAAAAAACTTCATAAAACTGTATGTTACGAAAACGTTGCTGAATGCAGTGTGTGAACAGAGCTATAGGGATGCATTGTCTACATTTAGCTGCAGTACATAAGTTACTCGAAACGCAGCTAAAAGCTGAAATCTAACCACTCGTGTGAAAGGGGCCTACAAAAATCAGATAGTGCCCTCCTTGTAATTAGTTATATTCTTGGAGTATCCTACTAAATTCTCCATCCCTATCCCAGCTCTCGAATAAAACAAAAGCAAACATCCCCTAGACTGGTTAACCGCTTCCCGACCACCCTATAGCAGAAATACTGCTACAGGGCGGCACGGGTGCGCAAAATTATCTATACTGTATATACGTGATTTTGCATTTCTGGGTAGGGGGCACGCACGCCCTACCCATGCCGCCATTCGCGGCTGTCAATCACCGGGTCCCCGGCGGGTGATTACTTGCCAGTGCCCAGTGATTTCCGAGGAACTCCGACAGGGAGAACTGTTTTATTTACTAACAGCTTTCCTCCCTGTCAGCTCCGACGCACTGCTTTGGATGGCTGTGCACAGCACAGCCATCCAAAGCAGTGTGATTACAGTGAAGAACACAGACACCGCTCCCCTTGTAAAACACGGCCTGCACACAGTTAACCCTTTGATCGCCCCTCATGTTAACCCCTTCCTGCCCAGTGCCATTAGTACAGTGTCAGTGCTTCTTTTTGGTCTTCACAGGAAGGAGTTAAAGTGGTAGTAAACTTTTTTTTTTATTTTACCTACAGGTAAGCTTATAATAAATCTTACCTGTAGGTAAAATGAATATTTCTTAAATGTGCACCGTTTAGATATTCTCTCTTTTTTTTAAGCCGTTGCATGTGCTCTGAAGGCACGGCATGGCCCAGGACTGCCACATGCATGTGCGGGAGTGACATAATCGCGGTTCGGCCTGTCAGACTGCCGGAGCATGCCAACTCAAAAGGAAGACGGGTGAAGATGGACCCCTCTACAGTGGTGACAGCACCCCACTGGAGGGCATCCTTTTAAGGTAGGTTTTATATAATGTCCTAGTAAGCAACGCATACTAGCACATTATTATTATTACACAGGATTTATATAGGGCCAACAAAAAATGACGGTAGACAGTACAGTTAATATACAATTTGGTACAAGAGGAAACAGAGGGCGCTGCTCGTCAGATCTTACAATCTAGGAGAGACATTACTTTGCAGGGGACTTTTTTTTTCCTTTTCTGCAGTTTACTAACGCTTTAACAGTGGACATTGCAGTCTCCTGCTAGTCTGTTGGGAGGATAAGAGGAGTGCCTTGCCATCCTAGACTACGGGGCTGTGTGTTTCTATTGATGCACACAGTCTAAGGAGACAAAACCCTAATCCCTGCATACAAGGGTGGCTCCACAGGATGCTGTAAGAGAAAGGAGCCACCCTGAAACAGGAAACCTATGACAGCGATCATGGCACCAGCGTAAACTGGAACACAGGCAATAATGAAAACATAAAAAGGTTGCATAAGCTTCAGTAAGTGATTAAATCAGCTGCTGAAAGTACCTAAAAACTGAGGATTTAATATCACTTTAGTAGTGTAATGCCTCTGGGGGCTCCCTAAGTACTATGTTATATTTCAGAGCTGCTAGTTAAACCCAGTGCAGTGCTAGAACATTCGGATTCATTTCTATGTAAAACACAAGCATGTTTCTTTCAGTTTTTTCTAGAAAACCTGATGAGGCTCCTGCTGAAAATTTAGAGGGATAGTAAAATTAGTATTCCCACAGATAGAAGACGTCTTTTATTGATTTTACTGATCTGATTCTGAAGATGCATAAATTTTCCTTAAGTCTGAGACAAAAGCATACAATGAAAAATGACTTTCCATTTAGGCTAATCTTTCAGAGACACCATTATAGCTCAATTTACAGCCTAGAGAAGTCACCGAGAATATTGTACACGTTCATGCTCTGGAGAAGAATCCTAGAATGAGCGCCAGAGAAACACAACTTCTATTTGTGGAAACCTTTCCGAGATTCTCGTTACGTGATTAGAATTCTGCAAGGGACGATGACGCATGAAAAACAAAAAAAAAACTCCACCTTGCTTCTTCCATGTGAAATGAAATTGATCAAATGGGCAGTAAAATATTATTGATGGTCAGGCCAGGTAGTGACCAGAGGATTTATAAAGCCTGGATACCCAGACCTGGTTTTAGGAGCTTCAATATGTGTCACCTAACCACTTGCCCTCCAGAGGATTTACCCCCTTCCTGACCAGGCCATTTTTTGCGTTACGGCGCTGCATTGCTTTAACGTAGAATTGCGCGGTCATGCAACGCTGAACCCAAATTAACCACTTGCCTACCGGGCACTTATACCCCCTTCCTTACCAGGCCAATTTTCAGCTTTCAGCGCTGTCGCACTTTGAATGACAATTGCGCAGTCATGTAAGATTGTACCCATATGAAATTTTTATAATTTTTTTCTCATAAATAGAGCTTTCTTTTGGTGGTATTTAATCATTGCTGGGTGTTTTACTTTTTGCGCTATAAACAATAAAAAGTGCAAAAAAAATGTGAAAAAAAAAAAAAGTTTCTGTGTTTCTATTACAAAATTTTGCAAACAGGTAATTTTTCTCCTTCACTGATGTGCGTTGATGAGGCAGCAGTGATGGGCACGGATAGGCGGCACTGATAGGCAGCACTAATGAGGTGACATGGATAGGTGGCACTGATAGGCGGCACTGATAGGTGGCACTGATAGGCGTCACTGCTGGGCATTGACGGGCGCAATTTGCTGGGCACTGACTGGCACAACTGCTGGGCATTGACTGGTGGCACTGACTGGCGGCACTGCTGGGCTGCACTGATGGGCACTGGTGGGTGGCATTGGTGGGCACAGGTGGGTGGCACTGCTGGGCACAGGTGGGCGAAGCTGGTGAGTGGCACAGATAAGCACTGCTGGGCACAGGTGGGCGGAGCTGGTGAGTGGCACTGCTGGACACCGATCAGACCACTGATCATCAGTGCCCTGATGATTGGTGCAGATCCCTGCTCTGACAACTGCCGGTTCTCGGCAGTACTTTCCTCACGCTCTGACAGCGAGAGGAAAGTGCAGCCGAGAACCGGCAATTGCATTTCCCTGTGATCAGTGTGTCACTGGACACGGCTGATCATGTGGTAAAAGGCCGCTGTGATCAGCAAAAATCAATTTTCAGCATAAATTTAGGACAAAATGTATTCAGCTACATGTCTTTGCTAAAAAAAAAATCCCAATACGTGTAAATTAAATGGTTTGCATGAAAGTGTTAGCCTTTACGAATGGCAGTATAGATACTGGAATTTTTTTTTTTACTAGTAATGGCGGTGATCAGCGACTTATAGTGGGACTGTGGCGGGTATTCTGACACTGGGGGGGAACTGACTTGGTGTCACTGACATCCCCAGTGACACCAATACAGTGATCAGTGCTAATAAAAAGCACTGACACTGTACTAATGGCACTGGGCAGGAAGGGGTTAACATGAGGGGCGATCAAAGGGTTAACTGTGTGCTGGGAGTGTGTTAAAAGGGGTTGGGAGGCGTATACTTCACTGTACTCACACTGCTTTGGATGGCTGTGCACATTGCCTTTGCTGCACTGAAATCTCAAGCCCTGAGCAGCAATTCACTGCAAACTACAGAACACCTCCCATCTATATTATGAGGAGAGGTGTTTTGTAGTCCAAACCAGGAACACATAGCCGAGGCTGATGTAACACCCTGCTTTTATTCAGACTGCTGAATTTTAAAAGAGGTAGGCAGTGTCCTGCAACTCAGTGGCACACACTCTGGTGAAACGCTTTATGGATTTTGTAGGCTGAACTTCAGGACTGTTAGAAGGCTGCTAATTGGGGGCTTACATTTCCCAGAGGAGCTGGTATGTTGGTGGAGGCATATAAATGTAGAATCTGGGGGGGGGGGGGGAGAAAGAGAGAGAAAAGCAGCTGACACCACCAGAGAATATGGAGAACTACCCGGTTGGCCGTAAACCTTGAGGGTTGCTGTCACCCACAAACTCTGCAAGAGGAACCATAAGACCGTTGGGGGCCCCCATCTACAGTGAGACCACAAGTGACTAGAATGATGCCACAGGTCTGGTGAGAGAGTTCCAATCTCCATCCAATTAAGTTGTCACTAACATTCTATTGAATCAGCCATCCTCTATCTAGTTACTGACATTGCTCACAAGTTACCAAGTTGAGGCCTAGTTCACTCGGCCTATTAGCAAACCATTGTTTCCTCTGCAATCAGTCTACCTCCATCATGGGACACTTGTCATTGTTACCATTTGCTACTGCGGCCTAGGGAAGAATTAACCCTTTGCCAATAAAAGCTTCTGCTCACCCTTTAGACCTTTTGCTTTAAACCTGCATCTCATCTTGTGCTTTAAAGGGATACTGCCCAAGTTAATTACTATTTAAAGAGATAGTGTCTGTGCTTGCCTAAATCCTTTTTTGAGGGACATCCACCTGTTGCAACCACCAAGATCTGAATTCTTGTAGTGCACCAACTGGGCCCCAACAAGCGCGCAGAAGATCTTTCACTGCATTTAAAGGGACCTTCCTAATTAAAGAGCTCTTTCTTTATCTCAGACTTGAACCTGGTCATCAGCTTCTGAGGGCCCAAAGTAAGCCAGCCTTATCCCTAAGTAGTTCTCCTTTGTGCACTGGGGACAGAAACATCTCAGAAGCGAGGCCCTTGGTTAAATTCTGATTTGCAGGACATCCAGTACTGGTTGAGATTTTTGCTGTATGTGTTGTCCTTTGCTTAAAATTACTAAGAGTGGTAACTTATTATTTACACACCTAGAATTCTCATACTCAACCCTAATATAAGCAAAGTATCAGTTCACTCTAACTTGTGTGTGAGTCTGTTTTCTGGTAATATTGAGAGAGTTTACTCTGGCCAGAAGTGTATGGTGGTGTCAGCAGGGGTTGGGCTTTCAGAGTGGGGTCAAGAGTTACAGGGAGCCCGAAAATAACTCAGCAAAACGTAGGGGGGTAGTGCTACAGTGACAATGCTGTTCTTCTATAGATAAAGAATGGTAAGTAAGCATGGTCAGTCTAGGACTGGAAGTGTGTCACTGGCAAGATGACCAGGTAAAAGTAAAGGAAAAACACTCCTGTGTGCATTCATCACAGAGGCATGGTAAACTGTGTTTATTATGCTTCACATTATAAATGAACAGGGAGCTTCTGTTCATTCATCTGCAGTGCAACTGAGGCTGCAGAGAAAGAAACTAGTATGTCTTCAATCCCTTTCCCTGTCTCAAAAGAGAGACATCTGGGGTCTGTATGGACCCCTGATATTTCACCAAGGCCCCCTAATAGGGCTGTTTAAAAAATAAAAATAAAAAATTGTGAAAAGATAAAAAAAAAAAAAAAAAAAAAATCAAGGGACCGTTCCCATGTGCTTTCCTGTCTGAAGAGTGATCTGCAGTTGGATTGCACATCCAAAAGCATTTGACAAGTGGTGATGAAGCATTGTATCGCCTCTACACCACCTGCTTTAACCCCAAATTAGCATGCCACAACCCTGTGCATTGCACAAGGTCGTGGGGTGTTTGCAGAGCAGCGTCATTCATTTGAAAGGGTCTCTTTCAACAGGAGGCAAAGCATCGGGGTTGTGGAATGTGTACACCCACAGCTACTGCTTCTGCAACTAAAGGGTGTAGTGGTTGGGGGGCAGTAAAAGCACAACTAAACCTTGGGGTTTTACTGTCCCCCAACCTCACATGTGATCAAGCCCTAAGGGCTCATTCACAGAGTTAATGTTGCTTTGTGAATGAGTGGTTTGTTCATGTGGCTGTCACTCTATAGGGACACAACACAGGTCCTAATGTCTCTGGTGTGCAGGTGTGGGTGAATGGTCCTGAATGTGCACTACATTCAGGGCTGTACACCTGCACCAACACACCTGTCAAATTAAGGCCTGTGGCTGTGTTTGTACAGTGGTTGCGTCTCCAATGTAACATAGGCTGCCTTCACACAGCTTAAGAGGGCTCCAGCCACATAAACAAACCACTAATTCACACTGTACAGGCCACCAAGCCAATGTGAATGAGCCCCAACAAATTTAATTTTACCTAGTAGGAATATTGTACGGTACGTTGTTTGTGTCCACCAATAATGAATTTAGTGTATTTTTAGTGAAAATATGGTTTTGATATTTTATGGGGGGTCCTGGTCCAGGGAGGCTATATGGGGCCCCATGATTCTAACAGCAGCCCTGCTTTGGCACATAAGTCTTTGGGAGTCATTGTCACTGCTAACTGTTTTATTGGGGCATCTGTCTGTCTATGGCCAGCAGGCAAGACAATCCACACAATATTCAAACAACCAGTCAGCTTTTGCCATCACTTTCCAATCTGCCTCTAAAAAAGTGAAGATAAAGAAGCTGGTTGGATGTTAGAGGCAATCCCACAACTGTCTTATTTTGGGATCCCGGCCCCCCTTGTCTTTACCAGCATAACAGTCCCTCTTTTATATTTGATGTTTGTGCTTTAGTAAATGCACTGTTAACTACCTAGACTAACTATATTACCTACCATATTGTACAGGGCGTCCCTAAAGTCTGGACACATAGGCAAAATGCATATTGAGGAAAAAAACATCTAGTTAGTGATATTTCCTATGTGTCCAGACTTTAGGGACACCCTGTATTACTCCACTTTGTAAATGAAAGTACATTTTCCCTTAGGCCTGGTTCACACCTATGCGTTTTTTGGTGCTTTTTGCAGAAATGCAGTACAGTCCATTTAACATGATTTCCTGTGGGACACGTTCACATGTATGCTTTTTTCAGCCGCTGTGTTTCTGGAAAGGGTCAGGGACTTTTTTAAATGCAAAACAGTGTGTTTTTGGTTCAACAGACTTCAATGGAGACGCTGCAGAAAAGCATGTAGTGCCTTTTGACGCATTTTATGTGTTTTTGATATTGCATTCCTTAATCTGCCAAACAATAAATAGGTTTAAAAAAAAGCATTAAAAAACACAAAGTGCATAAAAAGCATGAAAAATGCATCAATGCAAAATGCACTGCAAATAGCACTGCAGAAATGGCTAAAAAGCAAACTGCATAGGTGTGAATCAGGCCTAAAGGCATTATAAACCTTCCTACCTGCACCTTGTGTTTTTCACCTGCATTAGATATACATTCATCATGCAGTTTCATTGTGTCATTTGTTGCCTTGTACTCATAGCGTAGTAGAGTAGATCTTCACATTCAGGTGTCAGAAGTTTCAGTTTGTGTTCAAACATGAGGCACTGCACAGGTTAATTCATGACCTCTGTAGTCTGAGAACTGACACTTTTTGTGAAGAAACAACATATCCTACAATCCCTGGGTCTCGCAATCTAGTGCTCTGCGGGTGAGAGCTGAACAGTAGATAGATCCGACACAGCCACGAACAGGCAGGGCATTAACAGGGTGTTCACCATGCTGGAAGAGGTGTTTCATCACATTAGCACTCTCACATTTGTGATGTAACACAAAGGAAACGGTGAGTTGGATTATGTGACCCAGAAACAAGAAGTTGCCTGTCCCTTTACAGACTAGGAAAAAGGCTGCAGAATTACATACAGCTAGCTTGCTACTGCAGCCACAATATATGACCCCATCATTACAAGGCAAGGCAAACAAATAACACGGAATATAACTACACCAATACCTAGTTAAAGAGTAACTCCACTTTTGTTGAGAGAAAACAGTCCCCTGGGTAATCAAGGTACATTGCAAGGATTTTAACAAACTTTGTTGCACACTCTCACCTGTTTCTGTTCCTAAGAAAAAGCTGTATGTTCAACTATGTCCTTGGAAGACTGATTCCTGAATAGGAGTGCTGGTGTTCAATAACATCAGATGATGCCCTTGCAGTCTTCTAATGAGAAACGTTGCAGTGTCTGGATCCCTGCAGAAGTAATTAACTCTTAGGTAATATCTCACCAAAAATATAATTCCTATTACAGAGGAGGATGTCTAAAATCTGACTTGTATCTTAGTGCAGACTTCTGGGAAAATCAGTGAGCCAATCACATAAGCAGGAAAGGACATATCTGGTCGAGTTCTGTACACCAATTGTGTACAGAACGCCTCCAAGGTTGCCACATTACATTCAATTTTTCAGATTGAAAAGGAAAGGTCATTTTTAATACATTAACCATTTGCCTACCGGGGTACTTATACCCCCTTCCTGCACAGGCCAATTTTCAGCGTTCAGCGCTGTCGCACTTTGAATGACAATTGTGGCGTCATGCAACATTGTACTCATATGACATTTTTGTCTTTTTTTCTCACAAACAGATTTCTTTTTGTAGTATTTAATCACTGCTGGTGTTTTTATTTTTTGCGCTATGATCAAAAAAAAAAAAAAAAAAGTTTTTCTTTGTTTCTATTATAACATTTTGCAATCAGGTAATTTC